TACCCTATATAACCCTTATAGACCCCTATATAACCCCAAGGGTCCCTTTAAGGGTCCCTCCTCTAGTCCCTTGATAGCCTCGACACCAAACCCCAGGCCCTAAACCCGCAAGCTTTCATACACCAAGGCTTGGGTCGACCAGACACCACTAGAAGACGGTTACAGTATACGGTCTAGGGTTTAGGGTTCAGGGTTTTAGGGTTTAGGGTTCAGGATTGAGGGTTCAGGGTTGAGGGTTCAGGGTTTATTTCAAAACTGCTTCGAGCAGCAGCACCCCAGCCCCCACGCCAGAAGACTGAAAACGATCGTCGAGCCTTCTGGGGGAAGCAATGCTTGAAGACGCCTCTGCAGTTGGTTGTTTAGGGTCTGGGTGGTCTGAGTCTAGGGTACACATCAACTATACAGTTTCTGTAGACCGGGTCATGGGAAGTTATGAGTAGGTTTACACTGATGGCTGCAGCCGATTTTTGTTTGACTCTATAGGTCCTCATGCAGTGCACGCAACTCATATAGGGGCCTTATTGACTAGATCATCCTAAACTTTAAACCCCTCAGCCAAACCATCCCAAACCCCAAAACACAACCATCCTAGACCCCAAACCCTAAACCCCTAAACCCAACCATCCTAAACCCCGAACCCTGAACCCCTAAACCCCTGCCCTACACCCAACCGTCCTAAACCCCAAACCCCTAAGCCCCTAAACCCAACCATCCTAAACCCAAAACCCCTAAACCCCTAAACCCAACCATCCTAAACCCGAAACCCTACACCCCAAACCCTACACCCCTGAACCCCAACATCGAAGCATCCTCTCTTGGAGTTTGGATCACATCCTCGCGTCCGGAGCCGCAAACGACATAGGTCCCGGACGTAGCGGTGCTGAACAGTTTAAAGAACTCGATGGGTAGTGTTCTAAATTAGGGTCCCTTTTTAGGTCCCCAATATAGCACGGCACCCTTAACCCTAAACCCTAAACCCTAAACCCTTATAATAAGGACCCTAAAAGGGACCTTAACTCAAAGAAATCTAGGAGGCTTACAGGACTTTCTGGAAGCTTCAGGTCAGATGGGCTTTAGGGGTTTAGGGTTGAGGGTTTAGGGATTAGGGATTGGGGTTTAGGGTTTAGGGTTTAGGGTTTAGGGTTTAGGGTTTAGGGTTTACGGTTTAAAGTTTCGGGTTTAGGGTTTAGGGTGTAGAGTTTAGGGCTTCGGGTTTAGGGCATGAGGGTTTAAAGAGATTGTATTGGTTTTAACTGAGCCCGACTTAAACCTGATTGTAGATACTTGTACATACACATTGTGAAGAACCGTTGTAACCCCTAAACCCTAAACCCTAAACCCTAAACCCTAAATATACACCATATGCACTCTCTATGTGCCCGGCATATACATCCCGAATCTCACTCTTAAGCCGCAATAGCATCTATAGCCCATGGAAGCCCTAAGCCCTTACAGAAAGCGCAAAGCAACGAATCCTAAACCGCTTAAAAACTCTAAACCCTAAACCGCTTAAAACCACCCCCTGACACCTGAACCCTCAGCCCTGAAACTGAAAGTTTAACCGTTACACAGACCTTCTGAAACCCCTTAATCAAGGAATACACCTCAAGTTATCACAGGATCGAACCCTACTAATATCAATTCAAGTTTACTCCCTAATTTAGGGATTTTTGAAAGTCTAGGCATAGCTTACATCTTATCAGCGTTCCGGAGATAATTTAAGGTATATTCCTTAATTAAAGGGTTTGGGAGTCTCTGGGGAACCCTCAACAGAAACCACGGAACCACGGACGGAACCCTAAATCCTAAACCGTGACTGGAGCCTTCGAAGCAAATTGGCGGCGCCATGTGTTCACTGTGGGTGCACTTGGCCGATGCTTGAGGCTTGAGAGCTGTGGGCAGGGTGTAGGTGTCTGGGATATAGCGTTCAAGGAGTTTAAGGGTTTCAGGGTTTAGTTTTCGGCTTAGGGATTATATGGACTTTGTGTAGGGGTTTATAAAAGGTGTACAAGTTGATATCTGGGGTTTTGCAAGGTGTTCTCCGGTTTTGAAACGAGGCTTCCCTGCGTTTAACAAAGATGGACATCAGTGCACTAGACCCTGAACCCTACACCCTAAAACCCTAAACAAAAAGCCCATATCTCTAAACCCTTCTACCCAGACTGCAAACGATGCAGGATCCTGGTTGTGAGTCTAATATAGGGGCCTTAATAATTAGAATAGGTTTTTGGGGTGTATTGTATTGTAATTATAATAAGGAGCCCCCAAAACAGTATTGGTGATTATTTCGACCCCTATAACAAGGGCTTCAATACGTAGAAAAGGGTTCCCGGACATAGTACAGACCATATTCAGACAAAAACATCCCTAAACCCTAAACCCTAAACCCTAAAGCTATCTAAGGCTCTCGAGCTTCAAGAAATCGAAGGATGGATGCATGTTTAGGTATATATCGCGGAGCTCACGCAGCCCTTAACCGTTATCCCCCAACCCTGAGCCTCGAAACCCAAATAGAGGGGCCCCCCTCAACCCCAAACCCCAAACCCTAAGCCCCAAACCCTAAACCTTAAAGGGGTCTTAAGGGCTGGAATTGGGCTTTAGGGCTATATTGTACTATAACAAGAACAGGAGCCCCAACACTCTCTAATTGTATAGGCCCCGACTTAGAGGTGCAGGGGGGACTTAGTACCAATGGGGCCATGAGTTAAGCAACTGACCAGCTTTATGAACTGAGTAGCTGGCTTATGTGTTATTTCTTGAGTAGGGTAACACATCTAAACGAACGTTTAGAGCTACATATATATAAATATATATATATATATGTAGATGTATATGTAGATGTATATGTAAACACACACACACATATATATATATATATACATACATACATACATACATACATACATACATACACACACACACATGCATACAAACAAACATACACACATACATACGTACGTACGCACATACATATGTACATGCATACATACATACATACATACATACATACATACATACATACATGCATACATGCATGCACATCACACCGATACCTTTGTTCTTCCGCCGTGGGCGAAGGCAGCTTGCACTTCCAGACCCAGCGCTGGTATGCGCTGTCCAGGTTTGCAAGGTCGTTGTCTAATTAGCACGGACAGCCATATTGGGGCATGTGCATCAGCAGGCTATGTAGGTCTGGGGAGATGCTCTGCGGTCAGGGAAGGCGTCAATGGGGTGACAGGCCTGCATGAAGATAAAAGCCTGACATCATCTTGTGAATGGTCCGATTTATGAAGAAAGCTTGCCTTTCAACTTCCTCAGAAGCGTCTACCAAACTGGCAGGCACACTCAGAGGGAACCGCCACCCTACATCAACAGGAGGCAGTGAGATGAAGGTGTTGGAGTTGGGGGTCTAGGGTTGCGGGCTTTAGGGTTTTGGAGTTTAGGGTTTTGGGGTTCAGGGTTGGGGCTTGTAGGGCCTAGAGCACAGAGGAGCCACAAGGGCTGAGCTCCGGACTTTCAAATCGTTGCAGGAGGCTGCTTGCGGTCCACCATCGGTGCTCGTGGGCGCAAGCCTGCTGACACGCAATGAAGCATCCGAAGCTTCATTACCCATCCAAGAAGCATGACGAGTGGAGAATGAGGAGGAGGAGGAGTGCGGGTGGGCACGCGACGCAGACAGCACAGAATCGCCAGGAGCTACGTGCATGCAAACCGTGATGCGTGAAGGCCTTTGCACCGCATCCCCTGCAGTCTGTGGTGGCGGTGGTGGTGGTGGTGGTGGTGGCGGCGGTGGCGGTGGTGTGGTGGTGGCGGTGGTGGTAGTGCAGATCTGGAAATCCCCAGACTTGCTTATGCTGCGGATCGTGCGTTCTGAAAGGCTGCTCATTAATGGCCAAGGCGCCTCAACGATGAAGTCTTTGCTTCACAACCCATATGACTGAATGCAGGAGGAGTCTCATAGAGCACTCACATGCCTTTCGGGGACTATACGCCGGGATGTGAAGCCCTCGAAAACGACACAGGCCCCCTAACTTTTACGGCTAAATTTACCCTAATTACTAAGCCCTAAATCCTAAACCTTAACCCTAAATCCTAAACCCTAACAATCCTGAACCCCAAACCCTAAATCCTAAACCCAAAACCCTAGACCCCGCCTATGTAAGGCTTCCGACTTCCAGGTCTTCGGGGTTAAGGCAACAGAGTCTCGGGCAGGGCGGAATGTTCGGGCTCGGGTAATATAGGGGGTTTGGGGTATATTATACTGTAATTGTAGTAAGGAACCCCCAAGGCCCAATTCTATTAATAAAGGCCCCTGCATTACTGTAGAGCTTCGGAGTTGGCTTCTGCAGGGGTGGTGGGCCCAAGCCACAGGAACGCGGCCTTGATCTGAATGCTGACTTCGAACCATGATAGTACTCTTGCGCAATCCAGTAGGAAGCAACACTAACGATATCTAAACCCCTAAACCCTAAACCCTAAACGACCCTAATATTCCCTAAAACCCTAAACGACCCTAATATTCCCTACACCCTAAACCACCCTAATATTTGCGCAATGGCATACTGCAGCCGCCTCCGGCTCCGGCATGACGAGGGAGCCGCAACGCATCGGGAACCCCAAAAACCCAGCCTTGCCTTTACGGCCGAGTTCTCACCGATGAGGCTCGGCAAAAATCCGCTGTGCCTGCAACAGCAAGACCGATTAGGGTTTAGGGTTCAGGGTTCAGGGTTTATGGTTTAGGGGTTTAGGGTTTAGGGTTCA